CTCATATATATATATTCAACTATCGTTTTTAATGTGATTTTTTCATATTAATTATTGATGATATTCAATATAAAATATGGAGGAGAAAAAGGAACATAGTATAAATAGAAAAACTACAGGGCATACTCTATACCTATATTTTGTTACAATTAGCACTTTTAAATACATAATTATCTTCCAAATACGAGTCTTGAACAATAAGAAAAACTGAGATTTAAAACATATAAAATGAATTGCTTAGAGACAAAGAAGTGAATGTTTATAATGCAAGTTTTGAGATTGTTTTTCTTTTCAAAAAAGTTAAAAATATATACAATCCTTTACATTTTGCACAAAAGAAAAAATTACAAAAAAAAAAGTATCACAATAACAATTAAAAATGTTAATATCAAAAGTACAAATAATAGAAAAAAAATTAATACAAATCTTTAATTTATACTGAAATTGAGATTATTATAAAAGTAAAATACTACTATTATATATATATATATATATATTATATATATATATAATGAAATAAATTAAAATGGTAATGAAGTGGATCTGTTCCTGTTTACTAACAAAATAAATGGAACTCAAATGGGATGGGGGAGGTCTACCTTACTTCCTGTTCTTAAGATCGGATAACTACCTTCTATTTTCTTAATCATTTTAAAAAAATATGTATTACATTCACAATCATTAAACATTACCAAAAATTAAACACTATATTAACCTTTTAATTATTTAAAAATTGTGACTTCTGATCAGAAATGTTACTGCAAATATTAAAAATAATAATTTATTTTTAACAGAGAAAAAAAAAACACAATCTAGCAAAACTTAAAAGGAGTATCGGTGTAATTTTTATTCACTAATCAGAAAAAGATAGTCCTTTATAAACAAGTCTGAAAACCAAATCAGGACTAGACCAAACTCTTCACTGGAATTTAACGGTTTGACACAATTTAGATATGTTCATAAATATTCCAACTGGTGATTATTTTTTCTCATTAGCATAAAGTATAGACCTTTGGATAAGTTTTTACCAATCTAGTTCCTTATTTGCCTTTGAATGATGATTTCAAAAGAGGCAATGAATCGGATTTTCAAGAGTCAAAATTAAGAAAGTATCTTTAAATTTTGATTAATAGGATAGGATAGAACACTAGACGATAGAGCTGATTATGGTAGAAAAATAGCGGTCTAATAAAATTAATTGATTAACTGTCCAGGCAGCCAGTTTGGCAAAGAAATAAAAACATATCTCATCAAAACAGGCCAAAATTTCAGAAAGAATCGTACAGGAAAAAATGGCAATGATGTTTTCCATTTTATAATATTCTCTTTTTAGATAATAAAAAAAAGTGGAGAGAACAAAAAAATCATTTTGTATGAAAAATAGATGGTTCTAAACTGGGAGTAGGCAGTGATCAGTATATTTTCATTCAATCAAATCAACTTTAATTGAATTGAAATAGTTTACTTTTTCAATCTATATTTTCTGTTTGCATTGAATTAATTTATTAAATTTATTCATAATATAATAAATTAAAAATTAAAATAAAATTACATTAGATAATTTGTAGAATATATTTTCAATCTTTAGTCATTTAAATTTATGGTAAATTTGTTTTTATCTATTAAATTTAAAATTATTATTTTTAGTCTTTATATATTTTTAAAAAATCTTATTTTAGTCTTTATATTTAAATTTTGTTAAGAAATTTATCTATTAGTCTTCCTATTACTGAAAATATCACATTAAATTTAATTAATATTGCATAATCGTCTTAATTTGTCACTTTTATATATAGTATTGGTGATCTAAGAGACCAAAACAAAATTTTTAAAAATTACATGACTAAAAATAATAATTTTAAATTTGAAGGACAAAAACAATTTTATCTTAAATATGAAAAATTTAAAATATATTTAAGCCTAATAATAATAATATTATTAAATTGATCTAATGGATCGATTTGATTTAATTTTTAGAAAATAAAATCAAATATCCAAACTAAACTAATTGAAATTTTAATTTTTTACATTTGAACTAATCCGATTGTGGGGTTTAATATAATTTTTTTTTTATTTAAATTGAATTAGATTTATTGCATCATCAAATTGGATATGATTCTTAGTCATTCTTATTCCAAATAATAGTGCAAATTAATGTGGTAAAATCTACCAAACTCGTTAAAATTTTAAAAATACAGTATAATTTATATTTATATATAGACTTAATTGTAATTTTGATCCATCAAGTATTGCAATTGTGTAATTTTGTTCCCTAAGATTTTAATTGGGTAATTTTAGTCCCTAAACGATTGAAGTTGTGCAATTTTAGTCCTTCAATTTTTAATTGAACAATTTTAGTCCCTCAAATATCATAATTGTGCGATTTTAATCTCTCCTATTAAAATTTAATATATATATATATATATAA